GGGGGCACGTCAACTGCCCAGGAACGAGCAGGCCAGTGATAATTTGGCTGAACTTTTGTGGACACTGCAAACCAGCCAGAGGCGAGTGGGTTGGTGGGAATTTGACTTTGTCTTGTTCAGTCCCCTTGGACCCAGGAGATAATTAGGCTGAACTTTTATGGACACTGCAGACTAGCCAGAGGTGAGTGGGTTGGTGGGAATTTGGCTTTGCCTTGTTGAGTCCCCTTGGACCCAGGAGCCTTCCTGGGCAGGAGCCACTGTGCAAGGGCAACTGTGTGAGCACCACTGGACAGGGACCAGTGAATGAAAACCACTGGGAGGGAGACGGACAGCTGGAATTTGAATAGGGACCCCAATGGTAAGCATCCCCAGACAAGTGAGGCCTGAGTGAGGTCCCCCAAGTGGTTGACCTGCCCTTGTGATTGCTGCAATGCCATTTGGCTCCACTCCTGTGTCTACACATCTGGTTAATCAACCTGCCTCTAATCCGGAGCACCTTGACCTATCTTACCTACAAGAGGCTGCTCTCACAGACTCTGAACTGACATTTCTCTGGAATCAGACGTTCAGAGAAAAAGCACAAGTGGGATAGCTACCCAACTGATCTCTAGAACATTATCTTCAGATCAAGAACATATCAATGTCTTGAAGAAAGCAAGCTGTCCCATACAATACACAAGCACAAAGCAAGATACCACCCCCAAAGAGTGACACAGTATCGATGGATTTCCTGAAGCCAGAAAGTCTGATGGAACTTTCTGACACAAACCTTAAAAGAACAATGACTGAACATTTTCAATGGATGAAAGACAAACTTGAAGAATTACAGAATAATACAAGTAAAAACCAGGAGGAACTAAAAAAACCCAGTCCATAACAATGTAGAGAAAACAAACGAGGCATTATCAGCACTGGAAAAACAAGAAACCACTATCCAAAATATGAGATCCAATGTTTCAGATGCTGTCAATATGATGGAGGGACATATGAGCAGAGTTGAAGAGATGGAACAAAGAACCAGTGAAATAGAAGACAAAATTGTCACCACTGATTTGCTAGAGCAAAAAGCAGACTCAAAAAGGAAGGAAAAAGAAGAAAACCTAAGAATAATGTGGGATACCATCAAGAGAAATAACATGCACATCACTGGAATCCCAGAAGAGGAAAAATCAAGTAAAGGCACTGAAAAAGTTGCGGAAGAATTACTAGAGGAAAACTTCTCAGGCATAATGAAGAATGAGAGAATATATATACAAGAAGCTCAGCGAACGCCATCCATACAGACTAGACCAAAAGAGAAAAAAATCAAGGCATATCATAGTTAAATTTGCCAGAACCAAAGATAAGGAGAGAATCCTGAAAGCAGCGAGGGAGAAACAAAGAGTAACCTATAAGGGAGAGCAGATAAGATTAAGTGTGGATTTCTCAAAAGAAACCATGCAAGCAAGAAGAGAAAGGAAGGACATATATCAAACACTCAAAGAACACAACTGTCAACCAAGAATACTGTACCCAGCAAAGTTATCCATCAAATATGAAGGAGAGATCAAGATATTCCCAGAAAAGCAGAACCTAAGAGAGTTTGTAAAAACAAGACCAGCACTGCAGGAAAGACTCAGAGATGTCCTTCTTACAGAGATACCACAGAAAGTATCGTGGACCAAAGTAACTAGCAACAACACCAAAAAGAACTCAACACAATGATAGCAATAAAACCGTGCCTCTCAATAATCACACTGAATGTAAATGGTTTAAGTGCACCACTGAAGATAAAAAGAGTAGCAGACGGGATAAAAAGCCAAAATCCATCAATATGTTGTCTATAAGAGACACATCTGAAAAATGAAGATAAAGACAGACTGAAAAAGAAAAGGGTGGGGGGAAATATACCAAGCAAACGGCAACCAGGAAAAAGCAGGAGTAGCAATATTAATCTCTGATAAAATAAATATCAATGTAAAAACCATCACAAAGAGCAAGGAAGGTCACTACATAATGCTGAGAGGGTCAATAGAACAAGAGGGCATAACAATAATAAATATCTATGCGCCAAATGAAAGACCTGCGAAATACATAAAACAAACATTAACAAAACTGAAAAAGGAAACAGACAACACTACTGTTAATACTTGGAGACTTCAATACACCCCTCTCAAGAAAAGATAGAACTACCAGAAAGAAACTCAACAAAGACACTGAAGAATTAAACCATACAATAAACCAACTTGACCTCATAGATATTTATAGGCTAATGCACCCCCAAAAACCACAATATACCTTCTTCTCCAATGTACAT